CTCAGCAGCAGCTCTTTTTTTTTTTAAAAGTAAAGTAAACTTTGAAAACTGTTGTTAACTGACTAAACGATGAAGAAATTCTAAACTAACTATGGTATCCCTTTGTTTTTCCTGTCAGAAAGAGCACTGCTCTGACTCCATCTTCAGCCGAGGATGGTAGAAAAAGAACTGAGGGGGCTTGTGCTGCGCACGCACTCAGCAAACGGCAGGAGCGCAAGACACTGGATGCACAAGCGCAGCACGAGGGGCACTGCTCACCAAAAACCTCCAATCAGAGATGCAAGGACACACCAAGACCTGAGTGGAGCACCCACAGGGACATAACTTGATGAACAGTGATTTATTTCGAAATTAGATCAAGACAGGATATGCAATTAGCATAGCTCAAATTATGCATCTTATTGTGACCTACTTGTGCAGTGCAGATGCACCCCTAGAGTTTAGTTGTTTTCAGTTCATTTTAGTTAGCACCTTCTATTCAGAAGTCAGTCATTATTCCACAGCAAGAGGGCACTAAATATCTTCTGAGACTGGAAAGGTTTTCCATCCTGCTGTAACATACAAGCAACTGATGTAGCAATATTACACAGCTATCCACACTTTAGGTTCTTATAGGCACCCTTATTCATGGAGGGGGGGGGGAATCTTCATGCACCACTATTCAATAAGTTTCTATACTGGACTATAAAGAAATTGAAGCACCAGAGGGTAGCCGAGTTTGGTTTTTTTCTGTACCGACTAATGGTCTGGTTGCACTTTATAGACTAACAAATCATGTAGATGGTGTCATGAGCTTTCGTGGGCACAGCCCACTTCTTCAGACTCTGATCATCTGAAGAAGTGGGCTGTGCCCATGAAAGCTCAAGATATCATCTACATGATTTGTTAGTCTATAAAGTACAAACAGACCATTATGTTGTTTTGTATAAAGAAAATTAGAGTAAATTGCAGCTGTACAGGGCCAGAAAGGCCCAAGCACTGTAGAGTTCAGTTAAAATCCAATTCCACTTAATTTAATTCAGAATACTTAGGACTGCCTGTATAAAAGTCTAAACCACTGCTGTCTGTCGAACACTGGGCATCCATGTCTAAGTGGTCTGTAAAAGGTTATCACTGCCATAGAATAGTGGATTTTGACCTATGTACTACAAACCCCTGAAAGGGTCTTCAAACTAAGTCCAAGATTTCCAAAGGTTCTGCACCACTATTTGACATTTTTTGGAGGTTCTCAAGCAGAAAAAAGGTCGAGAGCCGTTTTTCTAGCTTGTTGTGAAATCTTTAAAGCTACAAAGTTTCATTTGTAGATTGCAGCATGATGGGCTTTGCAGTTAGCTATGGGACAGTTTCACTGGAATGTGCTAATGACATTGAAATGTTTCACAGAATCATAAAGGATTTGTCAAAAGAAATCACCACAACATTCCCATTTCTAGAAGATGGAAACATGTCATTTCAGCTTTAATCTTCATTTAGAATGGAATAAAAACATTTCCATTTTAATCAAAATATTTTGAGAATATTTTGTTTCATGAAAACTCCTGTGATTGACTTTTCATCCAGAGTTGGGGGAGGAAGGGGGGGATGTTTCAAGATCTTGAATTCACTGTGGGATGAAAATTCTAAATAGTTTTGTTAAACTGTGTCCAACTAAAGCCATTTGGTATCATCTCAGTGACATTGTGAAGAATAATTAATGTTTGAAGAGCTAAATATTAGCACATCACAGAAACACACCCCCATTCTGAAATCAATGCAGCACTGGGATAGTAAGTAGTGCAGGGGGCACTCTGTATATTAGACCAGAGGGAAATTCAGAGTTTCCCTACCACATGAAATTCCAATATTTGTTTGATGAATGCGAAGGAGAAAACCAAGCTTTAAAATATTTGCAGTTCATCTTTTGAAGTAAAAGGTTCAAGTCTCCCATCTCAGTGTATGGCCAGAAGAACTGAATAAGTACTCATTCACTAGTTGAGACTGGCCAAATAAGGAACTTGTCAACAGTTTCTTCATTTCTTTAAAAAAAAAAAAAAAAGAAAAGTTACCAGTGTGCTTGAATGTCCCCCACACTATTGAAGGCTGTGTCCCCCAAGTAAAAAACTGGCTGAATTACCAGCTGAATATTGGCCATACTAACCTTTGTTCCAGTAACCGAAAACAATTGACAATGCTCCCATCCTAATGCCTTTGGCAGTACACATTAAACCTCTCAGCTATGTCTACACTCCACATTTTTGCGGCAGAAAATATGCTAATGAGGGACTCATTTGTATGAGTCATGATGTCAGTCGCATATTTTCTGCCAATTCTTTTTGTGCATTGGGTTTTTGCACAAGATCCTTATGTCTCTCCAGGAGAGGGATAAGAATCTTGCGCAAAAGGGTTTTTGTGTGCAAAACAGAAGCAGCTACACTGCTTCTTTTTGCACATATTTTCTGCCACAAAAACATGTAGTATAGGACAAAGCCCTCTAGTCCAGCAGCCTTGGAACCTGGACAGATCCAAATGAGAATTTTCTGGACCATGGGAGATCAATATTGTTTAGCAGCATTACCAACCCTTCCACTGCCTTCTGGGCTGTTAGAGGACATTCAGGGGTATATTAGAGCTACAGAACAGCACAGAACACTGAGAGCTAAGACTGGTGGCTGTAAAAAACTTTATGGGACCACAGGAAATTTGGCCACATCCATGAAAAATGGACATCCAGCTGACTAAAATCATTCTGGATGAAGGATGTTTCCATACCAGAGGGTTACGGACTAGAGAGGTTCAACCTGTAGATGACCCAAGAAAGTTACACTTTTTTGGCTGAATGATTATATCTGATCGGGCATCTCCACAGCCTATGGAACCATCTAAAGCAGATGGTTTTCATTATTCAGAAGGCAGCTTGCGATGCAGGAAGGGACTTTTGAATCATGACAGGTGCTCAGTCTTGCAGTATGCCAAGACATAAGAGTGTATCATGTAGAAGGGGAAAAAAAACTCAAATGTTTAGGAAGCTCAAAATTAGTAGGGAGCCTTTTGGTGGGGGGTGGGGAGCACGTCTTATAGTTCAACATTTAGTTCTATCCTCTCATACATTCTTCCCCTAAACTAAATGCAAGACACACACACACACCCTCAAAATTCAAAATGGTTCATTTTAGAAGAAATAATTCCAGAACATTTTAAATTATAGACTTTAAAAGAGGGATTTTTAGGATAGGGAAAAGCTTTCAAAGGTCCATCTTAAAACATAAATCCATTCGGCCCTCACTAACGGATTGCCAAACATCTTTATGTTCAAATAAGCGTTATCCCTTGCAGCCCATCTTCTCCCAATTAGCGCAGCGTGCACAGAGCTCTATTATTCCAACTTTGTTGCCAGACTAATCATTTCTAAGACAAAAGATTGATGTCCCTGAATGAGAAGCTGTGACTGCACTGCTCGATCGCACTGAAGGGATAAAGAAGCTGTGAGAGAGAAAGTGCCTCCTCCACCTGTGCACACAGCTTCAAGGGTGGTAGGAAGAACAAAGAAACCAAATAGAACCATGTTGCTAATTCAGTGCAAAGATACTTTCCTTGCTAAACTTACCCATCTTTGGGTACACATACATCCATCAAAAGTACACCTACTCCAGACAGCAAATAGGAATGCAAACCCACTGGAGGAGAGGGTCAGATCCTGGATTCTCTGTGTAGCCAAACTCACAGCCCAATGGACACGGATTAGTCCTTTGTTTGGGGATATACCCTACTTCAGTGGTCTCCAACCTTTTTACACCTAAGATCACTTTTTAAATCTCAGAACAGGCGAAGATCTACCACCCCGCCCCTTCCTTGAAGCCCTGCCCTCTCTATTCTCCTCCTGTCCATCACTTGCTATCCCCAGCCCTTACTTACACACTCTGATAAACAGTTTATTTTTAAATTATGCGATACATACAATTAAAAATCACATACAATTAAAATCACATGTTTATAGTTATGAAATAAATGGTCTGTTTTTTATTCGTGCTATTTAAATCTAAAATGAAGCATTTATAATTATACATTTTGTGGGGACAGAGTTCTGCGGCTGGGGGCAGGGGAGAGGGAACAGGGTGCTGGGAGGGCAGAGGACAGGGTTCTGCAGCAGGGGACAGAGTGCCAGTGGGGACAGAGTTCGGGGAGTGGGGACAGAGTTCTGTAGCTGGGGACAGAGTTCGGGGAGGGAGTGGGGACAGGAATGGGGACAGCATTCTGTAGTTGAGGACAGGGGAGTGGGGACAGGGGAGTGGGATGCCAGTGGAGGCAGAGAGTCCCCTGCATCTCCCTCCTCCCAGCATTCTCTCCCACCCCCCGGAAACCAGCACGTGCCTTCCCAGGGGGCCAACCACCCCACCCGCGCAGGGAAGCCCCGAGCGCGCCTGACCCGGGGCCAAACCCCCCCGCGCAGGGAAGCCCCGCGTGCACGCCTGCCCCGGGGCCCCCCCCCTCCGCGCGTGCCGGGAAACCCCCTGCGCACCTCCCGCGGGGCTGACTCACCCCTCCTGTGCAGTGCAGGGAGCCAATGCTCCCTCCCACAGTACACCTGGCCGGCAGAGCAGCTAGCGGCAGAGCACCTGGAATCGCCGGAAGTGGCGCTAAGCTGTGGGACTTCTGAAGCCGACACTACCTCCGTTTTCTCTTGAGGTAAGTAATGGGGCTTCTGGGGAGGGTGGGAAGGAAATGGGGGCAGGGCGGACAGGACGCCTCGCGAGTGACTGGTCAAGGCCTCACGATCAACCAGTAGCTCGCGATCGACCTGTTGGTGACCACGGCCCTACTTCCTCTGTAGTAGTCAGTAATCATCCCTTCCTCCATCCACTAATGGGACAGATTCAAAGACTCAGAACTCAGCATGAAGATATTACTTCAGTGGGTTACTTGTGGAATATGGTACTTTTTAATATATACATGTCAGAATTCAGCCTTAGAGTAAATAGGAAACCCACACTCACCTCAAAATAACCAGCATGTAATTCACTTACCTTTGCATCTGCCTCGATGCACCACACTCAGAGCTGAGTCCCTGCATTTGGCTCTCTGGTAGTCACACATTGACTCGTAAGTCCTGCCATCCGAGGCGCAGAGAGGTTTGGACTGGGACCGGGAGCAGTGGAGGTTACATTGTGGGTCTCTGTCACGGTCACTTATTAAAAACTGAAGGTAAAAAAAAAAAGTGGGGCGGAAGGACACAAAAAACATTTGGTTTGTTTAAGTCAGCACAGACATTTGAAGAAAGCAAAGATAAATGATGCAGCTTAAATTCTTGACCTCAGTGTTGATTTTCACCACAAGAGTGGCTTGATTTAAAGTATATTTTATTTTTGAAAGATAACACCATTCACCTTTTTTTTTTTTTAAACAAACAATACTACCACTCAGTGTGCTGCCTTGGAAACAGTGGGTATAAAGATGTAAAGCCAAAAACAAACCCAACATAGGAAAATGCTGCACTGGATGGACTTGTGTTCAGATCACTTTATAACAACGGCCACCTGCTCCATGCAAACATGCAAGAAACACTGCAGGAGGTAAAGGTGGGGTAATCTGTATTAGATATTGGCTTAAGACCTGAAACAGAAAATCACACAAGAGGTCATCCAGCCAGGGCCGGCCCACAACATTTTGACACCTGAGGCAGGGAGCTCAAATGACGCCCCCCAGCCACTTTCTCTCCAGTCTGCCTGACATGTCTCTTGTGCCCTCCTTCCTCCAGCACAGCACTCCACCATCTCTGTGCCTCTAGAGCAGAGAGAATACATATGCACCAGCAGCAGACAATTTTCTACACTCTGGGTCCTAGTGGCGCTTCCCACGTTCTACACTCTGGGTCCTAGTGGTGCCTCCCATGCCCCCAGCGTCTGGCACCTGAGGCGGCCGCCTCAGTTCGCCTCATGGTAAGTAAGGCCAGCCCTGCTTCCAGCCCACTTCCCCTGCACTGAGTAGGGACCAGTTGTCTCTAGGGCAGGGATGGGGAACTTAAGGCCCAGGGGCTGGATGCAGACCCCCGTTTCCCTAGATCTGGCCCCCGAGGCTTAGGGCTGCCCCCCCCCCAACGCTGGGAAGCCAACGCTGGGTCTCCAGCCCCCCCCCAGGGCTGGAGCAAACAAAACCTACCAGCTTGGGCTCCCCTGGGCTCTGGTGTGCGAGGGGAATATGGGAAGTGTCTTTCTGCTTGTCAAATTGGGAGCCACAATGAGGGTTTTTTGGATTTTTTTGCTTCTCACTTGTGTACAGCTCTCTACTGATTTTTCTGTGAGTCAGTGGCCCCAGACCCAAAAAAGGTTCCCAACTCCTGCCCTAGACCATCCCTATCAGTGGTTTAACCTGTTCTTAAAAACCTGGGGGGCTGCAGAGCCAGTGTGGGCTCCCCAGTGTTGAAAGGGGAAGCCCTAAGCCTTGGGGGCTGTATCCAGGGAAGCTGGTGTTAACTATCTTTATCATTAGATTAGAAATCAGGAAAAGTTTTCTAAGTGTCCCTTGAGGCTGATTAAGCCAATTACTTCTGTCTGACCAGCAAGGGACACCAAGAACAATTGACCGCAGACCTTTTTAACAGCCCTTAACATCTAAAGATTGTTTTTCAAAGGGATATAAATTATAATAAAATATGCATATATCTCAACAACTCTGGATGTCCCCGCTTTCCATAGAGATCTACAGTACATCCCAAACACTGCCCTGAAGTGGCGCATTTAGGGTGGATGTATTTTTTACCTCTGAGTTCCACACGCTTATTACATGTTCCATGAAAAAGTATTTCCTTTTTCCTAGTCCTGACATTGACTGTCTACTTGTTCAACATAAAAACAGAAGTTGCCCCTCCCTACCATGTGTTATTTTATGTATTTCATGTCCCCTCTTATTTGTCTTTCTAAAAGGTAAACAATCCCAATCTTTTCATTCAAGAGTTTTTCCAGGTTATTGTCCTCATCTTTCTTTGAAACCTCTCTAATTCTGCAATATCCTTTCAGACACGGTGACCAGTGTGGCACACAGTGATTTGTGGAATGGCATATTTTCCATATTATTCTCCATCTTATTCCTTGTGTCACAAAACCTGATTTGCTTTTTTAACTATAGCTGCACATTGAACGGAGGCCTTCATTAACCTGTCCACATTAATACCAAGGCTCTTTTCCTGTATTAATATGAACCAAGAAACATTTGTTGCCAGCACGCTGCTAGACTACAGGTTCAGTGGTTTGGGTTTTTCAAGTAGCCCCTTTTGCTTTTCCAATTTCCTCTTGGCATCTCTTATCTTTGGCCTTGTTTATTGGTAGAAAGTGTCAGGCTTCAATTTGTGCCCATAATTATTCTGATTGTACAACAAAATTTCACTGGAGCTCCTATAACGCAACTTGTGAAGACCAGGCAGGAATTAAACTCTAGTCCTCTCCCATATTATACTTAATTTCACCCTTCTCAAAAGCACTTCCCTCTGCTGCCAGTCTAGTCCTCTCCCATATTATACTTAATTTCACCTCTCTCAAAAGTACTTCCCTCCTCAAGCCTGGGAATCAAAGTCTCTTTCTCAAGCATTAGTATCTCAGCCTGCTGCCAAAGCACTTATGAGCACAGCAGTCCAGAACTGGCTAGCAAGTGGGCACTGACTGACACTCTCCTTGCATATACAAAAGGCACCGGTCTCCCAGTGCACTAATAGCTGGATTCTGAACAGGGAAATGTGAGTCATCACCATAATCACCTTGGTGTTCTAGCTGTCTACAGAACTGTCTGTTTTATGCTTAGAGGTTAAAGCTGTTGGAGAGAAAAATTGCCTACCATTCTAGTTTGGATTGTTTTTATTACTACAAAAGACGCACTCCTCTGGTGCTATTATTATTATTTTAAAATAAGTCATTCATTCAGTTCAATAAGCTATAGAAGGTTTAAAAATCTTAATATCACAAACCTATCAAATTCATTCTTGTATGCCACTGAACATTTGGGTAGAAGTGAATTACTAGAAATCTCATTTGAACATCAACTGGCAAAAGTGAGCTCCACACTGGATTTAATCTGGATGTTGAATGCCAGTTTTATTCTAAACTTAAAAAACAACAAATGGTCTGGTAGCACTTTATAGACTAACAAAACATATAGATGGTATCATGAGCTTTCATGGGCACAGCCCACTTCTTCAGATGACCGGAGTTTATTCTAGATACCCGTTTGCCTGGGACCTGACAACTATCCAGTGGTAAAGTCCTTGAAGTTCATTCATTCCTTTCCTGCATTACCCATCCCAATTGAGAAATTCAGATTTATTATTATTTTTAAATGTTGGGCCAGGTCTTTGTAACATTATAGGATTGGACCCAATTTCTGTCTATTTGTCAGCATATACTAGGTTAGTTTAAATTTCTCTAAATTGCTATTCATCTATTTGTACCCACTGTAGGGCTAGAAATTTTTTCTGTGACCATCCAGTCAGGTGTGCTAAGGTTCAGAGACAGAGCTGGAGATTGGAGAGGTTGAGGCCCTCTGTGACCATCCAGTCAGGTGTGCTAAGGTCCAGAGACAGAGCTGGAGATTAGAGAGGTTAAGGCCTCCTACAAATTTGTGATAACAAAAGCAATTAAGATTGCTCTGGGGTTTCCAGCTTCCCATACATACACGGTTTTAAGAAGGAGTTTTAAGATGATAGGGTACATCTATAATTATTATAACAAAATGATAAAAAGGAAGAAAAGTCATTCAAAAGCCATTCCCCATCAGGAGAAACAGGAGATTTCTCACACAATCCATTCGAAGGGCTTGAGCAGTTGGTTTAAAAGTTACATTATTGCAAACTCTTCAGGTCACATACTGAGCCCGAGATACCAAAAGACACCCAGGAGGCACCCTAAAACGGAATCAGTGTATCACTACACACTACCGCTTCTAATTTTCAGGCTGCAAGCTGAATTTCTAGAAGTTTACTAAAACAAACATTAAGTGGACTCTAATGAACCAATTTACAAGAAATCAAAAGCCTTTTCAACATTTGGATTACAGTAGCACCTACATGGCATACAAGATAGTTTCCTTACATCTAGAAGGCCAATCCTGCAAAAAAGAGTAACAATCTAAGTAGTAACACAAACTGGTGCTTGTTTTATTGAAAAGTACATTCTGCTGAAAAGTCTGTATTAAATTCCCAAAGGATATAGAGTTCTGTATAGTACATGTGATTGGGAAGTAATCTATTTTTTAAATAATCCAGGAGTATTGCTAGGAGAGCTAGATGTCTTGGACATGTTGCTAAAGGGTTGCGTAATCTTACCTGTAGAATACAAATTCTAATCCAGCCCAAGCCATGGGTAGAGAACTAAAGCCATTTTCTTCAGACAGATCTGTTCGCTTACAAGAAAACAGATGGTTCTCAGATCTCAGTCTAGTTGGTGGTTTTCAGGACACTTTTGAGTTGTAGTGTGAACACTTTGCAGCAGTCTTTGTCACAGACAATAGTGATGAAAAGACCATCTGTTGATAGTTAGGGAGTCCATCATTTTAGTTTGTATATACAGTACTAGACCTGCAAGGCCACCTCACCATACACCCCTTTCAGGACAGCCTGGTAGTAGGCCACCTCACCATACACCCCTTTCAGGACAGCCAGGACATACTTGCTAATGCTCTGCCCCATTTCAAATTTAAACATCATTATTGTCTGTCCCGGTAGCGAACCTTATAGAAAGGTCAAGAAGGGAACATGGTGTGGATGCTGAGCTAGATTTCAAACCCTGTAAGTGTGTGTAAGGCACTACAAAAGAGCATGAGAGGCATCCCTCCCCACCACAAATGCCTACAATTTGTAAGTCAGAATCTCACAATGCGGAGGAGAAACTTAGAGGAAGCATTTCTCTCCCAGGACTTAAACCCCTCCCCACTGCTAAATTAATTTACACAGGTGCTCACTGAATCACTTCCCAAACCAGTTTCAGCTTCTTCAGACTTGAAAGAAAGAGATAAGAGGTCAGAATAAAGCAACATTTGGCAGCAAAGCATATCTGCTTTTTTTCCCCCCACACCTCAACACCACTGCTGACAAACAACACATGCTGATTAGATGGCTTTTAATGACTGTGAAGGAAAGCAGACTCCCTGCAGCTGCACAACAGCTGGAACCACTTGCGTTAGTTAGCAGAGACAGGTCTGACCCCACAAGTGAA